TGTGGAGGTAGTTGTTGATGAGGTGTCGGTTGTGGAGGTAGTTGTTGTTGAGGTGCTAGCTGTGGAAGTAGTTGTTGATGAAGTGCCGGTTGTTGAGGTAGTTGTTGATGAAGTGCTAGTTGTGGAGGTAGTTTTTGTTGAGGTGCTAGTTGTGGAAGTAGTTGTCGATGAAGTACTGGTTGCGGAGGTAGTTGTTGAGGTGCTAGTGGTTGATGAAGTTGAAGTAGTAGAACTAGTGGTCGATGTTATTGTTGTGGTTGAAGTACTTGTTGCTAAAGTAGTAAATAATAAAGAAGATGAATTATTGTTAGATAAAAGTTCCGATGCTTTTTTGGTTTGACGTTAACGAAATTTTTAAGGCTCCATGATGTAAAATTTGAGTGGAAATAATTTTGCTTTAATTCTTCTGGCATCCAACAGGCTTCAATTCACTGGTCAAGAATATGTATGTTTTGGTTTTTTCTATTATCTTCCAAGAGACTATTTCGAAAAACTGGAGAGCTATTGGAATGGATAAAAAAATACTCATTGAAAAGAGATACTGAATTTTATCATTTCTGTTTTCTCTAACGTTTAAACTATATTTCTTGTTCCCCATATTAAACTGAGTACAGCAATCATACGGTACTATCTTTCAAGTCAAGTGTCTATCTGCTATTGCTGCACAGTGGGAAGCCAGACGAATATATGCGAAAATATTCTTTTCGAAAATGTAACCGTTTGCGTAGATACATACATATGTGATCTATCATTTTCTACGATACTGGTTCTCAAAGTTTTATAGAGCCCAAGAAAAGAGACTGTCAAGGCGTGGGCCCAGATATCAACATACATAAAGAAAGTCAAGTCGCTTGGTAATATAACGCAATATTCTGCAGACAAATCGTATTGCAAAAAACTTGCTCACCTGCGGACGTTATGATAAAAAGAATTATCGTAATCCAATTTAAAATAGAGCAGAAAACAAGGAGTTTCTATGCCGAAAGCCTATCGTTCCGTATATTAAAAACTCTACAAAGGGATCATGTCTAATCAAGCGCGCATTTTTACCACATATACATACATATGTATCCTAATTACTGCAGTAGTAGCGCCAACTTATGAAACCTTTCCTAGGCTATTTTAAAAGATGTCCAAAAATCTGAGGTCTCCAAGCGGAAATTCGGTTTTAGACATCTGTGCTAGACTTTGAAGGGACATTAAGGTAATATTCGGAATCAGCGCATCAAACTACATCGAATGATCTCTAACTCAACATATTTCCCAAAAAAAAAACTTTTTTTCTTAGTGGTATACTGTCATTTCTAGTCAAATGAAAGTCATTCCTAAGGAAAAAAGCGCATATTCGCCGGCTTATGCGAAAGGTCTCCACTGTGTGCTGTGCTGAATTCTTTCAAAGATCTGCTAGTATTCAACTTTGCAAATGATTCTAGTGTTTTTATACGGCGGAACAAAGTCGAGAGATTTACTTCAATAAAGTTGCTAGAGATGAACTTGAACAGTATTGGTTTAGTTTGTAGAGTTTTTATGATATTAGTGAAAAAGTGGAAACTTTCGATCTGATAGGCAATATCCTGTAAATGATTACGGCAAGTTCAGCTATTTTGACAATCAGATTGTCAGATAAGAGCAAAATGAATGTCATATTATGAATTAGCTCAAGAAAACCTCCATAAACTCACATACATTTCATTGACAAACTTTCCTGATCACAGATCCATGCCAAGTTAAGTTTAGGCTAAGTTTCTCAAAAAAATAATCATTGAAGGTGGAATAAAGATGTAGACTTGGTTGGTGAAGACTTTGATGAGATGTATATGAGATTATGGATGTTTCATTGAGCTAGTTCATAGTATCACATTCATTTTGTTCTTTTGTGACAGTCTAATAGTGAGAATATCTGAATATTTGCCGTCATTGTTTGCAAGGTATTGCTTTTGATATTGAAAATTTGCATTTTTTTCACTGATATCACAGCACCTTTATAGGCTAAACAAATACTGCTCAGCTCGTCTCGAGATGGTCTAATGAAATAGGCCACTTGGCTTGATTTCGCTCGTACAAAATACTAGGTAGATTTTCACATTTAAATACTATCGAACCTTAATAGGAGTTCAACACAGTATCAATGGAGAGACAGTTTGCTTAAAAGATATTACAGTGTGACTGCTGTGCTCAGTTTTATATGGAGAACAAAGACATGTGTAGTTTTAAAAGTTTCGACAATAATAATGCTAAAAAGTTGAAATTGTTGCTAAACGAGCGTTTTTTGTTTATTTTTACAATCAGTGAGTTTTTCTAAATTATCTTTATTGAAAGATGAAGCAAAAACTGAAATATACATATTCTTGATCAGTGAATAGAACTCTGTTCAATGCTAGATGAATAAAAGTAAAATTATTTTCACTCAAATATAATATGGTTGGCACTTTATACAGAGTGATGTGCATGTTGCCAGTTTGAAAAAAAGACAGAATTCGATGTGAAACTTTTCCAAAATAACCGAATATCAATTTATTTTTTATTGAAAGCAGCTATAATATTTCGCCGAAATAGGGCAGGTTCGAGTAGTTTTCACAGCGTAAGTGCTACACCACGATAAGTAATTTATCCTTGTATACTTGCTTGGAGTGATAGAATTTTATGAGTGTGGCGCAAAAGTGATAGAACCAGTGAAGATATTGATTTCTAGCTAAATTTCCTTAATTAATCAGTTCATATTTATGTTCTCGAATTAATAGTAAAGTTAGTGATATTTTCAACCATTCTTGAAATATGATTCTATGTTTTGAAGTCTTTTCTAATATTAATATTCATGGGTATAAAATAGTTGTAAAGTTAAGGAGAAAAAGTTCTACCGATACTGTCAGATAGTTACAGATATTCATAGAAAACAGAGACATTTAATCCACGCTAATATGGGACTAATTAATTAAAATAATCCCAATCTGAAACTCGCTTGAACACTTTGGGTGAATCCAAGATTGAGCTAAAACAAAGCTGTACTGCAATAATATTATGTTT